TACATTGGGGTGGTGGAGACAGACAGGAAATGAAGAAACAGGTAAATGAAATCGTAAAAGTGAAAATAGTTTACACTAACAGTGATGGAAGAAGTAAACAGGGTGTGAAGAGAGGTACATGTGTGGATGCAAAAGGCCCCTTTAGCCTGGGAGGAGATGGGTAGTTCTCTGTGGAAGCGACATTGGAGAAGAGACCTAGATGATGAGAAGGAGCCAGCCACAGGCGGATCAGGGGGAAAGCAGGCCAGACTGAATGAATAGAAAGTGCCAGGGCCCTGACCCTTGGAAGGTCTTCTTGGAAGAGCTGGGACTTCTTGTCCTAGAGAGTGTCAGTCTTTGCCCCAACCCATCAGGGTGGTGGTAAAACTGGAATTCAAATCCAGGACTCCTCTAGTCCTACCCTGTGTCCTGTTCACATGGAGAGGACATGGGCTCCAGGCCTAGACATCCACCTCTGATTCTGAGGAACCTAAACTGGACTGCCCACAAGGAGGCTGGGAAAGAGAGGCCGGCCTACCCTGTGCTGTTGGGCATCAGCGGGTCACCCTGTATATGAATGTGGGGGGTGGGGGAGCACTGCTGGGAGAGCAGTGCCCTGGGAATCAGAGATCACCATTCACTCACCAGTTTAATGCATATTACCTGAGCCAGGCCCTATGCCAGCCCGCAGAGATAAAGCAATGAGCAAATGGACAAAGTCCTTACCCATATGTGGCTTATACCCATATGTGGAAAAAGAGGAACAAACACCAATAAGCCGATAAATATGACCTGTCAGATGGTGATGGGTGCTTTGGAAAGTGAGAAAGCTGGGGAAGGTTGGGGCAGGGGTAGTGTTACTCTCTGTTTGGCGTGGTGAGAGTAGGATTCTGGTAAAAATGTGAGCAGAGACCTGAAGGAAGTAAGGGAGTGACCCACATGGACATCTGGGGGCAGGGGATTTTCCAGGCAGGCAGAGGAAAATGAGCAGGCCGTAGGCTTTGTTCAAGCTGGGTGATCCAGGTCCCTTCCCGTCTCTGAGCCTCAGTTTTCTAATCTAGGTAATGGGGATAATGAGAGATTTAGAATCCCTGTGAGGGGCGTGGCCCTGGCTTGGTGCTCGGGGGAATTTGATCAAACCAACTGATTGAGCCCTCCAGGCAGCTGGAGCATCAGCTACATACATTGTGCATCCTGAGAAGAGCTGCTTAGAGCCAGCCCCTTTATTATGCTCTGAGAACCAGAGAGGGCAGAGATGAAGCCTGGAGTGGAGCCATTAATTTGGGGAGGGGGTGCAGTTTGCAGATGTCTGCCCAGAGGGGCACCATCACAGCTGAGTTGTTTTTCCTAATTACAGTAGTGAAACTTACTGTAAAAGTCAGACTTTACACAATATTTCAAAGCTTCTGGTCATCCTCCTACCCACAGATAACCACTAAGTATAGCTTTTATGGTGTTTATTCTCTGGTTTGTCCCCTATATATTCATTTTATTTCATTTTGTTTTTACAGAAATGGGATCATACTATATAGGTCTGGTACCAGACCAGCAGCTTGGACATCACCTGGAGTTTGTCAGAAATGTAGAATCTCTTGCGGCGCCTGGGTGGCTCAGGCGGTTAAGCCTTTAGGTCAGGTCATGATCCCAGGGTCCTGGGATCGAGTCCCACGTGGGGCTTCCTGCTCAGCAAGGAGCCTGCTTCTCCCTCTCCCTCTGCTGCTCCCCCTGTTTATGCTCTCTCTCTCTCTGTCAAATAAATAAATAAAATTTTAGAAGAAAGAAAAGAAAGAAAGAAAGAAAGAAGAAAGAAAGAAAGAAAGAAAGAAAG